CGATGTCCCTCAGCGGAGCAGTCTTCTAGAAGTTCTGATTTTGTGCTCCTCTGCTCTATCACTTGCCTATAGGGGCTGACGGAGGCTCCCTTCCCCTGTGGTCTATCTTCCTGTATATTGCCTCGGATTCACTTCTGTGCACGTCCTACCTTCCAGAAAGTGGTCGCTTTTCTGTTCAGAGAGTTGCTGCTATTCTTTTCTTCGATCTCCTGTTGAGTTCGTTAGGTGTTTAGAATGGCTTGATACCTATCTAGCTGAATTCCTGGGACCAGACGAAATTTATGTCTCCTACTCCTCCACCATCTTGCGCCTCCTCCAGGGCAATATTTTCTTATCACTGATGTAAGATTGTTAGACCTTCCCACCATCCCACAAAATAAAAGCAATATGTATTTTTGATGTTGTGCTCAATGGAAAGGATATTTTCCTGAGTTAAGACTTAGACTGTTTCCTTCCCCATCTCAAAGAAGTATCCGACCTTAGGAAGGCATACATACAGTGTCTTGAAAATGCTTCCTAGTACATTTCCTTTTCACAGCAAAGCTGCTCAGTAGACTTTTATTCGCACCCTACCTGGCATTGTTTTTAAGTATTAATTTTTGAACATGGCGAGTGTCAATAACTTTATTTAGTAAAGAAAAAGAAAAAAGAGGGAAGTGTTTCCAAACTGTCCTTGAGTTCCAGACACAGTTATTTTCTGATAAAATTATTCATGTAATTTAAGAACTATTTGCTGTATAACAGAATTGCTGATAGAACGAACTAGGAAATGGATATAGAGAGTTATGGTTGTGAAGAAGGGCATTAGAAAAAGTGTAGTTTAATTTTTAACTTCTATTTTGAAGCTAATTATGGCATTTCCTGTAGCTATTATAATAATGTATAAGAATTATTTCTTCTGGAAATAAATAGGTGTATTTAATGTAATCAATTTAGATTTTTGGAACAATCACCTGGAAATTTTTAACAGACATAATGAGAGTGAAAGAAAAATTGTATCCCATATTTGGAGTATTTCTGTATGTATTCTAAAAACTTTGCTCATCATGTGTATAATGTTATTGCTGCAAAAACCAGATTTGCTAATTTTTTAAATTACTATCAATAGTAGGTTAATATATGTAAAAGTATTTTCTCAATTCCATATGTCTTCAATCTGTTTAAGGCACATGAAGTTTTATGCCTAGAGATGCTCACTTTGCTCCTGGAAAGACCAACAGATGATAGTGTTGAAGTAGCTATTGGTTTTCTCAAGGAATGTGGCCTCAAATTAACACAAGTGTCACCAAGAGGAATCAATGGTAACTATAAGCCCTTGGCTTGATATTGAGCTTTTGTTTGAGTATTATAATATCTTTTGCTTGTTTTATTGCTTTTTTCTTTCATTTTAACTTTAGCTATATTTGAGCGCCTCCGAAACATTCTCCATGAGTCTGAAATTGACAAAAGGGTTCAGTATATGATTGAAGTGATGTTTGCTGTACGGAAGGATGGATTCAAGGACCACCCTGTTATCCTAGAAGGACTTGACTTAGTGGAAGAAGATGATCAGTTCACCCATATGCTCCCTCTGGAGGATGACTATAATCCAGAAGATGTTCTTAGTGAGTCTGAGTTGGGGAGGGGTGGGCTGGGTACAGGGTGAGTTGGGAAGTGGGGCACCAACAAATGTAAATATAGAAAATAAACAATTTTTAATTTATCTTTTTAAGATGTTTTCAAGATGGATCCTAATTTTATGGAGAATGAAGAGAAGTACAAAGCTATTAAGAAAGGTATATACAATTTTATAATCTATTTTGGGTAAGTAGAAGCAATTCATGTAGTTATATAATACTGATAGAAAGGTTTAGATCACTGACCTAATGAAATCTCTGCTATTATGAAGCCATTCTATTCACCATTTTCCCATGCATTATTTTTCTGTCTGGTGCTTGTTTGTGGTATTACTTCATTCTAAATTATTTACCTCATTGTCCCTCTCCTCTTTCCCTCTATTTAAATTATACAGCCCTTAAGTCTCATTCCTCTTAAGAAATGTCTATATAAGGTCGCCTGGGTGGCTCAATCGGTTGAGCATCTGACTCAGTTTCGGCTCAGGTAATCATCTCAGGGTCCTGAGATTGAGCCTTGTGGTAGGCTCAGCAGGGAGTCTGCTTGAGATTCTTTCCCTCTCCTTCTGCCCCTCTGTCTGCACACATGCTCTCTCTGTCTCTCTCTCTCTTGCTTTCTCTCTCTAAAATAAATAAATAAATCTTAAAAAAAAAAAAAGAAATGTTCCTATATTACTAGTGGCCCTTATTTTAAGTTCACTACCACTTAAGAATTGGTGCTTAAATTGGTGTCCAATGTAATATTCAACTAGATGCTATACTTTTATTATAAAGTACAGTATTTTATTATTTCTTCAGAGCAGGTTGATATCCTGATAAAATCAATGACAATTCCAGATAGGCTATCAGTGCTCAATAAATTAATAAATTGATTATTATTATCATTTGTATGTCATCAATATATTATAAGCACTAACTTTGGACAGACTTTGGTTTGTATTTTGTCTGTGCCATTACTAGCTAAGTGACTTGGCACAAATTACTTGTTTGAAGTAAATGTTACTTGTTTGTTTAAGAATAAATAAAATACAGTGCTTTGTATTATCATAGAGCAAGTATTTAGGCGATGCTTTTTTTTTTGACATTTGTATCATTTCTCTTCTAAAGTTAATTTTCAGGGATACCTGTGTTATTCTATTATAATTATAATTTTATAAGTTCGTTTCCCTTGAGTTGTGATTTTATGTGAGAAGTACTTACTGTTCTGAAAGCTCTCAGGAAGACAGCAGGAGGCCTAGAGCTCTGGTCACTTCCTCCATTCTGTGCTTCAGTCAGGCTTGGAAGTAGAATGAAGTAGAAAGTAAGGTGTAAGCAGCTTTCCATTTCTATACATTATTCTAAAAATCTGGTACAATAAAGAGATTGCTCTCCTTAGGTGCCAGTTTCCTAGGGACATTTCACTACAATAGCCAGATTCCTTTTGCTATTACAATTTAGTTTCTAGACATGGAGAATTCCTCAGACCTATTTTACCTTCTTATGAACTTCTTTTTCTGCAGTATCACTCAAAGATTCTAAATGGTTTTATGGAATTTTTATCATACCTAGTATGATTTTTTTTTTCTTTTAACTTGGAAACTCCACATCCATTTCTTTAGGCCAACGGTGGTTGAGCAATGCTAGGAAAGTAGTACTTTTCTTTATTATAGCACCTAAACTCTCTGAACTTAAGTTCCCTTTATACTCTTGAAAATTATTTAGGACTCCAAAGAGCTTTTGTTTGTGTGGGTTACATCTATTGACATTTACTTCATTAGCAATTAAAACTGAGAATATTAAAAACATTTATCAAATTATTTCAAATTAACAGTAATAAACAGTGTTATACATTATATACTTTTATGAAAATAACTACTTTCTGAAACAAAGAAATTTAAGAAAAATGGCATGTTTTGTATACTTGATACAATTTAATATCTGACTTAATAGGAGATGGATTTTCATATTATTTGTGATTTCAGTCTCTTGCAATAGGTTGTTTTCATTGAAGTATATGAAGAAAATTTAGCCTCATGGATAATATGTATTTGGAAAAGAGAGAGGTATTTTAATAACCTTTTTAGATAGTGTGTATATTCTTTGTTAATACTATGCCAGTATTTAAAAGCTAATTGTTTCTTAAAGATTAATTGCAGTGTGAAACCTGAAACAATATTCTTGAATTTTCATGCTCTGTTACATCAAAAGCCATTGGCCTGTCACTTTGAATGGATCTTTTACCCATGCAGGATTTTGCAACATATTCCATTGGTCATTTAGAAAATATCAGTTCACTCAGTTATGCATATCTTCTAAGTGTTAACATGTCAACATTATCAAAATTAAATTAACACATTAACATGATATCAAGAAATCACATTTATTAGTATTGCCACCTACCTCATCAGAGAAGTCTAAGTATTGGGAAGCTATCAACCTCACAGGAATGGATCCAAGTTCTCCAAAGTTCTAATTTTCTCTTGAGAACTCCCTTTTTTATCATGGTAGTAAATACTGTTAATTATTTTGTTGAAGTGACAGTCTCACTTTGTTTATATTTGAGAAAATGTCTGCCAGATTCCTAACAACTATAGTTTGCCAACCATTCTTTCAAGTAAAAATGGAAAACATCACTAATTGACCTTGCAAGTCAAAGAGTAGCACAAGTGCTTTTCTTTGAGATAACCATCACCATTGTGCATCTGTCTTTAACAGAAGGGCTATGTATGAATTCATGTTTTGCTACTCAGATGATTATATATGCTTACACTTTAGGGCTGAGCTTCAGTGAAATTAGCAGTTTTCTACTTCTTCCTCAAGGGCATCCTCAGGTCAAACTAACTCTTTTCCTGCCTCCAAGAACATGGCAGTAAAGAGCAAGTGATGGCTGGTTCAGTTTGGTGCTTGATTTGTGCTCAGATTGCAGCAGCTTCAACTCCCATTGCTTTTGGATGCTTGTAGATGGTAGCACAGCGGAAAGGCAGGTAATGTCTGGATGTTGTTATGAAAATAGTTGTGACCTCACAGACCACCTGACAGGTCTCACTGATCCCCCGGGGACTTACATCATACCTTGAAACCGCTGCTTCATTCAGTTAATGAAATCCAGTTGTCATTGCCTAAGTGATTTCAGTAAGTAGATTCTCAAGTGGAGAGATGAGGAGAGGATGATGTAAACGACCAGACAATTCATTTGACCTTCATTCTTTCATAAAATATTCTTCTAGAACTGGCATAAAAAAATGGCCACAGCAGGAAGTGGGCACAGCTTTAGTAATTAGCACCTTAGCGTGACCCAGGTGCACTTGTGTTTTAGGTCTTACAGCATTTGGGAAGACAGCAGGAGTGCCTGTCTTCCTACTATTGAATACTAAATAGTTTCCTCTCTTAAAAGTCTGTCTAAGCTATATTATGTAATAGGAAACTAGACACTTTACATTATTTCTTGAAGTCACATTTGTTAGAGATATTCTTGGGATTTGTTTGTCAGCTAAGGGCTGAATGACAACTCTTCGTTTTAATAAAATGATTTATTTTTCACAGTATGAAGTTTTCTGCTAGCATTAAATATTATATGTGACTCCTGATTTATAGTGCTCAGTTAAATATAAGAAATTAGAATTTCCCTAAAAGTAAGTTCACCCTAAAACTTTATCTTTTTTTTTTTTTTTTAAGATTTTATTTTATCTGACAGAGAGACACAGTGAGAGAAGGAACACAAACAGGTGGAGTGGGAGAGGGAGAAGCAAGCTTCCTGCTGAGCAGGGAGCCTGATGCAGGGCTTGATCCCAGGACCCTGGGATCATGACCTGAGCCAAAGGCAGACACTTAACGACTGAGCCACCCAGGTGCCCCCCTAAAACTTTATCTTAAAAACTCTGATTTTAGAAGAAATGCAAAAGTGGAGTGTTAGCCAGGTTTGTAAAATCTTTTATCAGATCAACAGAGCACAAACCATTGGGCGAAATATAACTAGTTTTTTTTCACTTGTTAACTATTAATATGATGACTAGCTTTATGTAGTCTCTTATTTACATTGCTGTTTTCATACAGTTCTAGATGTAAGTTGTATTTTAAGAAGTGATTTTCCAGTGAAGTGTTCATCTTACCAATTTTTTAAAAGGCTTTTAAACTTCTGTTTCTGTTTACATGTGGAAAGTCTTGAGATTAATTGTAATGTTCTATTCAATAGGTATACATTAGAATAAAAATCTCATTACTGTTTATTTAAAGTAAACACTAAATTATGCAATTATTTTTTCTCCCTTCTTTGTCTTTCACAGCCTAAATTCTTATTTTCTATATCTAGCCTTAGCTTTGTATAATAGACTATATCCTTTCTGATGCTGAACTAATAATATTTTGACTCCAGTATACTAGTTTCCATTCATAATTTGTTTTTCCGGTGCTCTTGCTCTTTTGGAAAACCTTCATCTACTTTTTTTGTTGTTGTTCTTCTCATCCCTTCCTTATTTTATGACCATTTTCTACTTGGCAGAAGAATGATATGTATGGCTCTCTGACCACCTAGGCAATAACATGAGACCCCTGTGCTCACTTCGTTGGTGATAAACTGTAGCCACTATGGATTTTGGCAAACTGAGAATTATCTTCTCAGAATGAGATTCATGTGTATCACTTGCTCATTAATATTTTCCCATACTTTGTTCTGATAGAAATTCTTGATGAGGGAGATAGTGACTCAAACACAGACCAAGATGCTGGAAGTAGTGAAGAGGAAGAGGAAGAAGAGGACGAAGAGGGAGAAGAAGATGAAGAAGGTAAAAGTTAGCTGATTCAAGTAATACTGTAAAATACTCTGAAATTAAATTAATTCTAATGTAATCCTCTAAAATAGTGGTTCCCAACCTGTGGAGGGCTGGGGGCTGCTACTGGCATCTAGTGGGTGAAGGCTGGGAATGCTGTTAAACATCCTACAAGTCACAAGACTGCCCCCACCACAACAGAGTATTATCTAGCCCAAAATACCAGTATTGCTAAGGTTGAAAAACCGTGCTCTAAAAGTGTTAAAGAAGGAAATCATTTTTTAATGATAATCAGCATAATTTCAATTTGACATTTTATGCCTTTGATTATAACCCATGAAAAAGATGCATTCGTGTTGAGTGCATGTGATTTCTGCAACCCGACATGAATGTGACAGATGAATGTGGATAGGTATTTGCTATTCATTTTGGCAACATAGAGTGGGGAGGCCAAAAGCTGTGTTTGCACAAATCAGGCATAATGTTCTTCTTCAGCTTTGATTACTTTATTTCACAGAAAAATAAGCTCAGAACTTTATTTTATTTAAGTCTTAGTTAAAACATCAAAACATACGTAAGACTGCTCATTATTTACTTATATTGCATATTTGAAAATATTAAGAGTATATCTTTCCCTTTTAGGACATAATCTACTTTAGTTCTGTCCTAAAGTGTAATTATTCTTCTACAACATATTTTATAAAAATAAATTCAAATTTTTTTTCCAGTGTCTTTCTTACTTAAAACATTTCCTGACTATGTACTATATTTAACTTTAGAATTTCTTTGTTTTATGTGAAAATACAGTTCAAATAAGAACTACTAAATATTTATAGGGGAAATTGTCCTGCATTAGATAAGAGAAAATTTTGATAAATACACATATTTATATTGGACCCATCTAGTCTGCCATGATGACCCAGTGTTCTCTGAAACTGATTTTCTATCCATAATTTACAGTCCTTCCAAATTATCAAGATACTGTTTATAATTCTAGAAATAGTATTTTACCAAACAACAGCATGAGTGCTGCCTTTTATAATGTCTAAATGAGCAGGCAACACAGAAACAAAAATATTTCTGGCATGATTCTGGACTTCTTTGAACTGACAAAAGTTATTAAAATACTCTAAGATATGGCAGAAGACTGGAAATGGTTACTTTGAGCTCTGCAAATACTATTTTACACTGTAGAAAAGAGCATTATTGTTAAACTCATAGATTCTAAATATTTATGAAAAATTATTATCTAGAGATACATCTTCAGTCCTTCACATTTATTTTTGTAGTCTCGTAATTTTATTATGTTTAATTTCTTTCAGGACAAAAAGTGACTATTCATGACAAAACAGAAATTAATCTAGTCTCATTTCGTCGTACAATTTATCTTGCTATTCAGTCAAGGTAAGATACTGTAGTTCAGTTGATCCTTATTTTGCATAGGGGATGGACAAGAAGATGGGATTTTTAGAATCTGATGACAGAAAACTAGATACCATTTCAGGGATTCTCAAACTACCTGCCCAACTTCATAGATCCCTGCTGTTGGTTCTTTGCTTCAGGAGAAAATTATCTTTATTTGGAAGGTCTAATTGTGTTACATAATTAAATGGGTTTTTTTTAACTGTGTCATTCCTTATAGTTAAATATCACTAATAAAAAGCTGAAGACAACTCTGTGTTATAGAGCTGGCACAGTATATAATTATAGTGGAAATTTAATATTTTTTTAATTTGGTTTCTAATTCTGATTCTAAGCATAGAAGTACTTTTATGATAACTTTTGGACACTGATTTTTTTGTGTGTGCAAATGGAAATGAATATAAATGGAAATAGGAAGGTTTTGAGGACCCTTTGAAGTAATGTTAAGTAAGAACTACTGTGATGTCATGTGAATATCCTATTCCCTTTGAAGGCTGTGAGTTTGGTTTGGAAGAGAAATAAGTGAAATATTAAATGCTTAGTACATCTGTTGTTTTTTATGCGAATCAGCCTATTGATTTAATGGGCACAGTGTTTACATTTTGCACCGGAGGAGGAATGTTTTCTCAGTTTCGTTTTCTTACTAGGTTTTGTATATTTCCATTTAGTATGATGTAATAGCAAAAATGATTCATACGTAGGAGTCATCCTGTTTTTATTCTGTCTGAAAACTTTTTGGCTTAGATTCATCTTCAGAAAGGGAAATGTTAAAAAACAAAACATTGGCTAGAAATATTTTTGGTTTATCCTTACCTATTTCTTTGCCTTTCGCATGAAAGAAAAATCTATTAACTATTTTTTCATACAAACAAAGTGAAACATGAGAAGTTTTTGTTTTAGGTAAAACTTTAGTTTGACCTTTCATTTATCCTTTTCTAGAAATTCAGCAGTAATCTGTTGTAAACAGCAGATTCACTGTTTTAATATTGCTGTTAACATTAACTTTGAAGAGTTACAATGGAGCTGTTTGGATAACTATTTAAAGGAAACTGTTTTTTTAGTTTACCAAACCTTGATAATCCTTGAACCACACAAAAGATTTGAAAAATGAAAGCATCAGACAGGTGACAATCATGATTACCAAGTAGTACCAACTCTAGTAACAGCAGTACTGTTTTATGTGTTGGTATTCGTTAAGACTTCTGAGCCCCTGAATGTCTAGTAAAAATAATTTATATATGACATAGTTTACTAGACTTAAAATCTCATACATATTTTAGAAAGAACCACAAAGACATGTTTAAAGGACAGATGGTTGAGGGAGTCATGTAATGGGATCCTGAATTATAAAGTTATTGAACAAATATCACTCTAGACTAGTAAGTGCTATTATTGGTCATTAAAACAGCTGAAGTGATTTACTTTAATTTTTTTTTCAAAGCAGCAGTACTCAGTATTAATGATTTTACTGAGATACAGGTAAACATTATTGGCGGTAATTTAAATTGATAAGCTCTTTATGGAAAGCCTTTTAGTAACATGAATCAGGGACTTAATGTCCATGCCATTTGACCACTCTTTTTCATTATATTTCTTAAAGAAATAGAAATTGACAGAATTATATATAGAATTATTCAGTACAAAGAAAAAAAGACCATCTTGTCCAATACAAATAATCAAATGTCCAGTTTATGCCACCATTGAAAGTTAGGCTAATGTGGGAATTGTTACTGATGTGGGCGAGTGGTCTGACTTAATGTGAAATGGGGCAAAAACTGCATAGACACTATAGTACTGTACCAGTAGTATTAACTGTTTAAATAGGTAGACAGATTCTAAAAGTGATACATTAACATATCAACAGTGGTAGTCTTGAGAGGAGATTGGATTACAGATTTTTTTGTGTCTGTGTTTTCCAGTTTTTTATGTTTTTCGAAAGTCTTATGTTTACAGTATACCAATCTGAACCAAGTATAATATAAATCAAGAATGGAATATAATCATCAAGTCAGATGGCAGTGAGGGCACTTTATACACTTTGCTTTTGGAAATCTTGCAAACAAAAGGGCGACAACTGAACTGTGTGGTGATTTTATTTTTTTAATTTCTTTCCTTTTAGACTTGTTGACTCATCTCACCTGTACTCTTACCTTCTTACTATCCTGGCTCCTAAATGACCCTCTCTCATTTACACAAAACATAAAATTATACAGTTGGTTTTGTTACTAAAAAGTAAACATTCCTGTTTGTTCTTGCTTTCAAATGATGTTCCACTCTGACTTTGCATTATTGAAGCTGTAGCATCAGAGGGAGGTGGGTTTATCGTTTTCCCACCAAAATTTCTTAGATTGGAAACATCAACAAAACCATGTGTAAACACAGCTGCGAAACTAGCATCGTGTAAAATCATTTTTCTTTACCCTTCCCTCAGTCGCTATTTATTTGTGTTAAACCTGAAATTCATTTGATTTAGCAACCTAAGATAACTGAAACAACAAGCAAATTTAATTCATTTAATATTTACATTTAGTACAACTTCAAAACAATCTTGGTATAGGAAGTTACCAAATACTTTTACAATAAGAACAAGGAAAATAGACTATCATACAGCTAACTTTCTCAATGGTACTTACTAGATAAACTGAAAGTTATAAAATATTTTTATTAATTGATTGACTTATTTTTCAGAAATTGCAGGGTTTTTTCCTGCATACTAATTGTGTTCTTAAAAAAAATTAAAACTAGAAAAGAAAATGTCAACATCTTTCAAAATACTTTTTGGTAATATTGCTATATTGTTGAAGTTTATCAACTACAGTTTAATATTTTAATCTTAGTGCCAGATATTGTTTAATATCACCTGTTGCAAAAGCTCTTTCTGACATATTTCTTTCTTCATTTTAGTTTGTTTTTTTAAATTCCATTACATTGTACCATTCTGAGTTATTACTCTATTGTGCTTATGAAACTCAGTAAGTATCAGAAGCTGAGGAATCAGATGAACTATAAAACTAAATTCATAGTCATTCTATTTCAGTGGTTGATTATTTTATACTGCTTTTATCAAAAGAATGAAGGTTTGAACATTCTACAAAAAGTACAAATATATTAGTATTATTCCTGTATTGAGCTCACATTAAATTTGATAATTTTCTTAAGTATATTGGAAATATTTTTAATGAAACTTACATGAATGTTGTATAAAAGCAAATTATTTTTCCTTGTAAGTGATTTTGGTTATTTACTATTTTTATACTTAGTTTTTGAAAATGTAGAAGCACTGTGGTTGGGTATGAATCATGATAACTTATAAATGTGGTGATTAAGCACTAGATGTCATGCTGGGCTCTGGGGCATCTTTTACCTCTTACTGACTTGGGTCAGAGATAAGTGGAAATATTTAGCAATGTCATAAAAATTTGTCTACTTTCTGTCTATATATTTGCTCATTCTGGACAGCTTATATAAATGGAATCAAACTGTATGTGGTCTTTTATATCTGACTTTTTCACTTCACATAAATCAGAGTTCATCCTTGTAGTACATCTCAGTACTTCATTCTTTGTAGAATTAAGAGCTATTTCTTTTCTATATACATGATACAGTACTGTGAAGTTACAATAAAAAAGTTATTTTAAACAATTATTAAAGTGAGATCCTTGTTTATAAAAGAGTGCTATAGTTTAACAATGCTGCAAGTTTTTAACTTATTTTATCTCTACAGTTTAGATTTTGAAGAATGTGCTCACAAATTGCTGAAAATGGAGTTCCCTGAGAGCCAAACAGTAAGTTAATATTTTTTTCTTCTATTAGGAAATAATATTGGTTATAAAAATGTTTAAGACAGTTAATATAGGCTTTATGAATTGAAATAACTCAGTATTGAATATTCATTTTTTAATGTAGCTATTCTAAAATTTTAAAATAACTTAAAACTTAGTTCTGGGGTGCCTCATAAATGCTACTCATTGCAGTGAATTAAATGGACTGCTCAAATGGGATGTGGGAAAAGGAGGAAGTCTCTGAACCACTGCACTTTACATGAATTTCTGAGTGGTTGCCTATAAATCAAATGGTGGCTTAAAATACAATAGGAAATTTGTTCCTTAATGAATTGCCTACTCCATCTTCTTAATGCACTAAAACATTCTTTTGTGGTAGAAATTGTAATGATCACCATACATGTTGTTACATTGTTTTAATTGGATATAGAAGAATCTGTCATTTTTTTTTTCATTCATTAATTCAACAAAATGTATTCAGCATATACTACATATCAGACTCTCTACAGGGTATCAGGGATTCAGTAATCCAGTACATATCAGCCCCCTCTTAGTCCAGGGGACTCATAATCTTATAACTTAGTATATACTTCACTGTTCAAAGTATTATAGAACCCTAATGACAAAAATAATAAAGACTGGATTGAGTAGATTGTCTTGGGTGTTTTTTATAGTTGCATTCTTATCTACATTGCTCCCTGCCCATCTACATTTTAAATCCTTGGAACCTGAGCCAAGACTTTTGGGGTTTTGTTTTTCACACCCTGGTTTACACATGGTAGACCCAGCACAGATGCCACAGTGAATAGATCAACTCTAGGCTGTTTCTATTTCTAAAAGATCTTGACTATCTGAGCTGTTACTATTAGGTGTAGGTGCTTTGTTTTAAGGCTTTAAATATGATCTGTTACGGGGATTGGCAGACTGTGGCCCAGCCCACTACCCATTTTTCTAATTAAAATTTTATTGGAGGGGTGCCTGGGTGGCTCAGTCGTTAAGCATCTGCCTTCGGCTCGGGTCATGATCCCGGGCTCCTGGGATCGAGCCCCGCATCGGGCTCCCCGCTCCATGGGAAGCCTGCTTCTCCCTCTCCCACTCCCCCTGCTTGTGTTCCCTCTCTCGCTGTGTCTCTCTTTGTCAAATTAATAAATAAAATCTTTAAAAATAAATAAATAAAAATTTAAAAAAATAAAATTTTATTGGAATACAGCCATGCCCATTGGTGGGTGTATTGTGTATAGCTGTTTTCACCTTATGGCAGCAGAATTGACTGGTTGCGACAGACATCTTATAGCCTCTAAAGCCTAAAATATTTACTATCTGGCCTTCGATTGAAAAAGTTTACCAGACTTTTTCTAGATTATGGATTTCTTCTTGAAATGCCATGGTATGTAATTTTGAGAAGAAATGAAAGTTCTTTTTTCCCTCTTAAAGTTTGTTTGCTGGTATATTAGAAACAGTGTACCTATTTGTACCCTGGGTGCACTTGATGTGTTCACTTTTGAAAGGAAATAAATTAGTGAATTAACCTTTAAAATTATAATTGAAACTGAAATTACTATATGATCTTGTCACATTATTTGAGGAGTATAATTAAGTCATTATAACTTTTATTAATATTAATTCAGAGGATAGTTGTTCTAGAACTAACCTCAACATATTTTGATAGTTGGAAGAATGTCTTAGTGCATCTATTTTCATGCACTCAAAAGACTCTCCTAAAATGGCTATAATATTTAATTAAAATGTTAAAATATTTAATTATTATAGGCCACAGGGAATAACTCTTATAATTGCATTTAGTCTAGGGAAGAAAGTGATTTGTTTTATAAGTAGCACTGGCTTTATTAGCAATGCTGTCAGCATATTACCATGTTATGTTGTTTAAAACCTGATTAACTGTTATGTTATTGTAAAATACAATGTTAGTAGAAAGAGTTGAAAATGCATTTTAATATATCAAATTAACACAATATGGCAGAACTCAGAAAAACCTCATTTTAACTTTTTAGTACTATATTAAATTTTGACAAAGTACATTTTTCCAGAACTTACACATTAATAAGCATTTTTTTTAATTGAGGTGATTTGTGACTAATCATAAAAAAATAATTTAGCAATGTAACGACATCTAGAAACAACTTAATATTGTGATTAAGTAAGGCTTTTTGAGTAGATTGTTTTATAAGTAGATTATTAACTTCCAGAACAGCGCAACCAATAGAACTTTCTGCAGTGATGAAAATATTTGTATTCCACGCGGTCTAATATAGTAGCCACTAGTCACATGTGGCTTTTGAGTACTGAAAATGTGGCTGGTATGACCAAAGAACAAAAATTTTAATTTTATGTAATGTTATTTAACTAATTAGCTAAGGGTTACCATGCTAGACAGCACAGTTCTAGAGTACCTGTTCTGTGCTTCTTTGGGACCCTTTTCCTCCCTCTTGCGCATAGATATATGCAGTAAATATAGATAGACCTAAGTTTTAAAAATATTTACAATATTTACTTAGGTTGCATCTCACATTGTTAAATATGACAAAATGTCAAAATTGCTAATTGAAAATATAAAGGTAAAATTAAATAGAAGTAAAAATGAACTGAAAGGGCATGTATTATATTTTATATAATAAATACATTTTTATATATTATGCATTATATTATATTTTCTGTTTATAGAACACAAATACATTACAGTTACTATATTTGGAAAAAATAATCTTAAACTTTTTGGTAAATGTTTTGTAGAAAAAGATATTTAGTCAGTTCTACAGCAGTGGTCAGAGAATGAATTTAGGCCTTTTTTCATTTTGTCTCTCCATTGATTTGTCCATGTTGCCTGATTTTCTTTTCTATGAAATTGATATAATCAATACATATTTCATTACAGTATTTTAAAATTATAAATCATTTGTGATGATAGTATTTCCTGGTCCTGGATTTACTCTTGCATTTATTAGTTCAACAGAATTTTATACAGGAGTTTTCAAGGCACATAAATAGCTGACTAGACAATATATTACTCCAGCAGTTATGGAATGATTTGATCTATTTGTATAGATTTATCAATAGATAGATGTATATGCGTAACATTTATTTTGAGGCTGGGAAATCCAGCCACAGAGGTGTTTTTTTCTTTGTTCTTGTAAAAATATTTTTTCTTTATTAACCAGAGTGTCATTTAAGTTAATGTTGTAGCTGTGCTTATTTATGCTTCTATGAAGACTCATGTTCTACCTTTTCCATACTAATTAAATATATTCCTTAATAATTGAGTTTAAAGGTGTATAACTGAATTGTTAGGTGGCGTATTGATGATCTATATTTTTAAAGATTTTGTGTAGAAACTTTTTAGAATACAGTCTATTCAGTCTCTTCATGGTGTATCTGTTTCATATAGTAGATTTTCTTGAAGTGGTTCATACTTAATATGAATTTAGAATTTTGTAATCTAATTAGCATGGATGACTATGGAAACTGTCAGCTAAGCTGAAGGCTTTAAAAAACTATAGGCTTGACATAGATTGAATTTTTTAATTTTGTCTTAATAACAAGCTCACAAAGCTTTGGAAGTTTTGTGTATTTAAAACCTTATTTAAAATTCAGGCTGTCTCTGTCTATGATAAATTATCATATAGCATGGATTCATTCTGTTCTGAATTATTAATGCAGTTTTTTTTCCAAATAGAAAGAACTCTGCAACATGATACTTGACTGTTGTGCCCAACAAAGGACATATGAGAAATTTTTTGGCTTATTAGCTGGGGTGAGTTCTAGCCTCATTTTTCTTGTTGGAATGTAATAGAATCACTAAGGGAATCCTTAACATGAATATTGTGAATTAATGTGTCTGCTTTGTGGTCTTGTCTAATACAATAGCAAATCTTTGCCAAAAGCTCGTTGCTCTTCCCTTCCTCAGGTTTCCCATCCTCTGTAGTTTCCTCCTTTCCTACTTCATTTTGTAGTGCCTTAACATTGCATGTGACTCTTCCAGAACTTTTTGAAATTCTGTATGCTTTGTAACAATTTCCCAAAGAGGACAATTAAATGTTGCCATTTCAAAATCTCAAAGCAGTTTCTGAAGTCAAGTACATGTTCAGGCAGCACAAATAGAGCATGAGCTAAAATAAGTTTTTAAATCTAAACTCTACCCACAGAGAAATATATTTACATAGTATGCAAATGTATGTGTCTATGATAAGCTACTTGTATAATTTTGTTTTAGCATATAAACCCCAGGTAAATAGGGATGATATATATTACCTTCTTTTTTAAGCATTCCATCATATAGCACAAAAAGATTGAGTGATATAATATATAAAATATTTACTAATTTTTGATTCAGTAAATTTAGAAGGATCTGATATGCTCATAATGGTATTGAGAGTCAATTTTTAGTGGTACTAACATTCAATTTTTTTTTATTTATTAGCGATTTTGCATGCTAAAAAAAGAATACATGGAATCCTTTGAAAGTATATTCAAAGAACAATATGATACCATCCATCGCTTGGAAACAAACAAATTGAGAAATGTTGCTAAGATGTTTGCTCACCTTTTATATACTGATTCACTTCCATGGAGTGTAAGTAGATGGGTTGATATTTATACTTCCTTCCTAATCCCGTTATTCTCGAATAGAGTATTAAGTATAATATAACCATACTTTTCCTATGTAGGAAATGTACTTTTAAAATGAAATGTATAGCAAACTTTTACTGTAATGGCTATCTTTGAGGTTATATTCATATAACATGGGATCGAGAAGCTAAGTAAATAACATGAGTATAAGAAATACCATCCTAGGTGATTTTAACAGTCCAAACATCACAGTCCTTTTTAATAGTGATGGCTAATGGTGTTTTCAGGGAAAATAGAGATTTTCATCTTCTCTAGGTGTGCACATGTGAATACACACTCATACCCACATACATCAATAGCTTGGTGGTCCATGCATTATGTAGTCAGTTCTTTAGAACAAGATAAGATATCCTTGATACACAGATGTATACTGGATTGGAATTTGAAATGCATTCACGAAGCTGGCATTTATTGTACAACTGCTGTTCATCCAACAACCATTCATTTAGTTACCAGCTATGTGCCCAGTCACTTGAGAGAGATACTGGGCATCCAAAGTGAATTATATATGATCTCTGCTTTCAAGAAGCATACCATATAAGAAATACAAAAGGTAAGATATGCCCATAGCGCCAATACGAAATAACAAGTGATACGTTATAAGAAAAGTGAAGTTGAAAGAAAGAAATTACATCCAAGAGGAAAGAAAGAAGAGGATCACATTGTAGAATACCACAACCTAATGGTAGAATGAGGCAGCAAAGTGACCTCATAAACATTAGATTGTTGTAATATTATAAGTACTAAGTATGTCTAGCTGCATTAATAGGCATTTTGTAAGCTGACCTAGGAGCCTGATTATAATAATATTTTTACTTCTTTTTCTCCCTCTGGGAATGAAACTGAAATCAAGGTTTTAACCAATTGAAGTAGATGGGTTCCTGGAACACAGAACTCATAAAGACTGGAGGTTACTTTTAGTTTTATTTGTCCTAAAACATCTCTCTATGGCTTCAGTTTTTAAGCCTCAATCTTAGTATTCAGAACAAGCTATCACTCTTCCTGTCTTTACCCTTATTGTATATGTAGTACACAAAACTATAGCCTAATGCTCTAAGTGGCATTTTGCCCCAAACCCTTATATATATCCACATTTTGATGAGTGAGTTTTAGGAGCTAGTAATCTTTGCTTCAGCATTATATACTCACAGTAGAATATATCTCTGCTATAAAAAGCACATTACTCAAGAAAGAATGAACTCTATTTCTGTAGTATCTTAGCATTACGAAAATTAGCATAGGGAGGTAGTCTTAAACTTTGCCAAGAAGTAATACTTATCAGGACAAAGAAAGATATTCACGGATAATTCTTTAGAGATGCTTAGAGTTTTAAATGTTGGTCATTTTGTCTTTTGAACAAAATAAAATTATCTTTTAATTTTAATTTTCAGGTTCTTGAATGTATAAAGCTAAGTGAAGAAACCACTACATCATCCAGTAGAATTTTTGTTAAAATATTTTTTCAAGAACTTTGTGAATATATGGGTCTTCCTAAACTTAATGCAAGATTAAAGGATGAGTAAGTTTATCATTATGCACTTTTTATTCTTACTGTCCTCAGGAATTTTCTTCCATTGTAGCAACATAAGTCCACACTTGGTTGTAAAAACAGTAGTTAAACCTCTAGGACTTTCTTCATCCACTAATTACAACTCTGAATCTCATGTTCTGTGGCGCAGGACAACATGCAGTTTTTAATGTTGGATTTTAGTTGCAGTAGAGAAAACACAGAATCAATGCCTCTTTTAATTTAGTTAGAACACACAAAATTCTTTTGTATGTTCACTGGAGTTTTCCAATAATGAGTACTACTTACAGTTTTATTTTCATTTTTAACCCTAATTTTGAACCTTAGAAAATTAATTAATCTTTGTTATCAATGGATAATTGTAAATATATTTAGATGACCCAGTCATGTAATTGTTCAAATTATTACACTGAATGAAAGTCTTGTTCCAGGACTATTGTGTAATCCCTATCTCAGCTTTCTTATTTCCTGTTTATTCAGATTACCCATTGCCACTCACATTGACTTCTACTGTATTCACACTGCTGAATCATCCTTTCAGATTTCTTAGTGACTACCTGCCAAGTCAAGTACTTTTTCTCAGTCCTCATGCCCCTGGACTTCCCAGCCTTACTTACACAGTTGACCACTTGCTCACTGTGGCTCCTCACTTTCTTCTCATTCTGCCTCACTCTTCATGATCTCTACTCTTCAGCCTACCTCTCCTCTTTGCCACAGTTTCCATTCTCTGGGCTAGTCCATCTGCTCCCTTTAGCTTCATAGACTAACTTATTGGTCCCTGTCTACTTCACCAGGTTTATCTCCTCCCTCTCCACAGCCTGCACCAACATTGCTCAACTCATTCATGCTTCCTTACCTCCATTTCCAGAGCTAGAAATCCCCTCTCTTGGTCTATCCAGCAAAACTCTTAATTATTCTCCTTATATGTCACCTTTTTCTATGAAACAGTTTGTCCTGACTCTGCTGGTTAGTCATTCAAATTGGTACTCAGAACAACATGTCCAAACCACCTTATATTGTTAATGTTTTTTGTTCCCCTTCCTAGAAATAATAATTATATGCAGGCTTCATCCATGATTTCACTCTTTTGTTGACTACTTTTCCCCATCCCCCAGTGCCATGCACAGTACTGTGTGTGCATGTATGTGTGTGTGTGTGTGTGTGTATATGTACATATATACACACACAACTTTATTATATACATTCACATACTACATATATATGCATGTGTGTATGATTTTATATAGTCTACAATATGTGTGATGTATAAAAAAGTTTTTAAAAACTTCTGTGGGTGCCTGGGTGGCTCGGTCAGTTAAGCATCCGACTCATGGTTTCCGTTCAGGTCATGATCTCAGGGTTGTGAGATCGAGCCTGGTGTTGAGCCTTACACTCCATGGGGAGTGTGCCTGAGATTCTCTCTCCCACTCTCCCTCAGGCCCCGCCCCCCACGCACACACATGCGCAAGCTCTCTCGCAAATAAATAAATAAATAAATCTTTTCTTAAAAAACCTCTGTTGTAACTTTAGTAAATTATGACTTGACCCTACTCATTTCATTTAGATAGCATGTAGTCTAATAAATGATATAAATCACTTACTTAATTGTATTTCATTTAGTAATTTAATAATACATAGAAAATCTGAAAAATGACTGCATACTGCCTTTTTATCTTTAAGCAATGTGTTCTCTTTTGTTCATATTTTTTCTTGTTTTAGAACCCTACAGCCATTTTTTGAAGGGTTATTACCCCGAGATAATCCAAGAAACACTCGGTTTGCCATCAACTTCTTTACTTCTATAGGTCTTGGAGGTTTAACGTAAGGATAATTTTCAGAATTTTATTTTCATCTTATAAAATTATCTCACAGTTGCCTTAGAAGCAGAAACTAACAGAGATTATATCTTTAATTAGGGATGAATTGCGTGAGCATCTCAAAAATACACCAAAGGTCATTGTGGCACAGAAACCAGATGTTGAGCCAAATAAATCCTCCCCCTCCTCTTCCTCTTCCGCATCCTCCTCTTCAGAGTCTGACTCCTCCGCCTCTGATTCGGACAGCAGTGACAGCAGTTCAGAGTCTTCCAGTGAAGAGAGCGATTCTTCATCCAGCAGTAGTCAGAGCTCTGCCTCAGGTATGGAAAGTCATTTATAATTGATTGGGCTCTTCTCTAACAAGTATATTGCTGGTGATGTTTACAGCAAGGGAACAAAATAATTTGATTGCTTAATTATTATAGATTCAGTTGTTTAAAAGCCACGATTAATAATATAAATGATCATCTATCACTGCTGGAGTCTGTAGTGAATTGCATCATTTATAATGCTGAGATCACCTATTGGCATCCCCTTCATAGAAATGAAGATGTTTCATTGGCAAATACTTATTTGAGTGATGACTGAAATACCGTTCATTCATAATGCCTATAATCCAGTTTATAGCTTTCCTGGTGTTTATATTTTAAAGAAATTTTAGTTTTTTACTTTAGTGAGGGTTTATGTTATTGACATGCGCCATGCATTCAGTGCGTACTTCCTAAGTGTAAATGTTCATGAAGAGAACACATCCATGTGCTAGCTACCCATAACCAGAGTTACCAGCTACTGCCACTCCTCCCATCCACTGCCTCAGGGCAGCTTCTGCTCTCATTTGTAATTACGTAATTCATTGTGCCTGCTTTTAACTTTATAACTATGTTTTATGAACTCCTTTATGTCTGGCTTATCTTTCACAATTACTTTTGTGAGATTCACTTGTAATACTGCATTTAGTTAGAGTTCATTCAATCTTATTGCTGTATAGTTTTCCACTATATGAATATGCTACAGTCTATTTAACATCCCTTTTACTCAGCAGCAATTTAGATTTATAAATAGTATTCCCGTGAATACTCTTATTCATACTTGGTAGATATATGTATATGTACATATGTGCATTTCAGTTGGGTGTGTACTTGGAGAATCACTGGGAATCACTGGGTTGTAGATTGTGTGCGTATTTAGCTTTAGTAGATAACTGCCAGTTTTGCAAGTGGTTATTTCAGTTTATACCCCCATCAGCCATGTTTGAGAGTTCCAGTAGCTCCCATCCTCACAGCACTTCAGTTGGCTATCTTCTTCGTTTTAACCATTCTGGTAGATGTGTAATGGTATTGCATTGTGGTTTTAATTTGTATTTTCTTGATCACTAATGAAGTTGAGCACTGTTTTATATTCTTATTGGTCATTTGGGTATTTTTCCTTTTGTTAAGTGGCTATTCAAGTCTTTTGCTACCCCCCCCCTTTTTTTTGTTTTATGAAGTTGTCTCTTCTATAAATTTGTAGGAGTTCTTTAGGTTTTCTGGATATGTATCTTTTGTGACATGTATGTATTGCAAATAGCTAGTTCAATTCCATTCTGTCTCTCCAGGCCTGTGCAGCTGCCAGAGCTCTGTTGGTCTCTCTGTCCCTCAGCAGCAGCCCTGAATCAGCAGATGCTCACAGGGAGAAAGTGGCTGTAGAATGTCAGCTTACCTCTCTATGGTTCTGCCCTCCTTGAATCTTGGCCCTTATTCAACTTAAAGTTGCAGAAAGTACAGAAAATTCCCATATAGCCTTCACCCAACTTCTCCTAATGTTAGCATTGTACTAACCAGAGTTCAATTATCAAAGCCAGGAAATTAACATTGGAACAATGCATTAAACAAATTCTTGAATTTGAATTGAATTTCACCAGATTTTCCATTAATGTCATTTTTCTTATTCCAGGATCCTACTTGCATTGAACTGAGTTTCTTCTTAGTCCTCTGTATCCTGTGATAGTTCCTCTCAGGCTTTTCTTGGTTTTAATGGCTTTGATACTTTTGAAGTCCTCTGGTCACTTATTTTTTAGAATGTCCCTCAATACGGATATCTGTCTGATGTTTTTACATGATTAGAATGAGGTTATGCATTTTTGAACAGAATACCATAGAAATGTATTCTTAATGCATCTTATCTTGGAGTTCATAATATTAATATGTCTTATTGGTGACATTAACTTTGATCACTCAGTTAAGGTGGTATCTGCTCGATTTCTTCATGGAAACTCCTTTTTTCTTTAAATTAATGTCTTATATAAGGGAGATAATTTGATACTATGCAAATCTTCTCTTCCTCCTCTACCTTTCACCCTTTAATTTTAGCATCCATCTTTGGATCTTGTCTGCAATACTTAACTGCTGTGGTGTTTGCTGAACGTGGTTTTTCCATTTGCTTTTTTTTTTCTGCATTTAGTAATTGAATTTCTTCTGCAAGAAGAAGTTGTCCCTCTCCCCCCTCCCCATTTATTTATTAACTGTATATTTTATCAGTGTGGACTCATGGATATTTATCTGAATTAGTTAAAATCCATTACTGTCATTTATTTTGTTGTTCAGGTTATTTCAGCTTTGGCAATTAAGAGCTCCTGCAAGTTGACCCCTCTGTTCTTTCAACATACCCCTCTCCTTTTTTTTTGAGCACTGCCTTTCTTTATAACATCTCAAGTTGTTCAAGATCTTTAGTGCCTTTAAGCAGAAGATTTTAAATTTTTATCTGGCATTTCTAGTAGTTTTCAGCAGGGGCACTGGTCTTCCACAGCTTTCTTCATCCTCCCCGGAAGTGGAAATACAGTAGTAAAGGATTTTTTCAAATGTGCCATTTTCTGAGAAGGTCTGTGGTATTTTCCCCAGGGTCAACTCTGTTTTCTTCCATCATAGTATCTTGGTCTGAATAAGAGATAGTCTAATTGTCCAAAACACATATCATTTCTTATTTTTTAATGCATATTTTAGTGGCAGGACAAAGTAGTTTGGAAGGTTGATCTTTATACTCTTGTTCTCTGGCTTGTTGCACTTAAAAGAGTATTAGATACTGTGTGACAGCCAGAATTATGGGACTCTCAGTATTTTATGTTATTAGAGCAAGATTGCATTTGCCCACAGGAAGTCTAATTCTTGAATTAAAATATATAACATTGTTCGTTTAGTATTCACCTCTTTTAATTCTAAAGAATTTGTTATTTCATGGTATCTGTTTTGAGAACAGATGATAACACAGCATGAATTGCTGCAATAAGGAATCTTGCCGATTCAGAATTAATTTGCCTCATCATACAATTTCAGTAGAGAGCTTTCAGTTTTATTAGTAAAATATTAAGTAGCATAAAAACAGTATGAACTGCTCCCAAATTAGAAAATTGTAAAGCAAACACCAGAGAGTGGGGAGGTTGCATATTATGGTAGGGCTCAGGGTTTTGTGTCAGCGACACAAGAAAAAGAGTGGTGTAGAGTAGGGTCAGAGAGACGCTGATTTAGCACACAGCCAGATGGTTTCTGCTTGGGTAGCTGCAGCTCAGCTGAGAACCAGAGAAATAAATCCTTAGTGGCAAACCAATGGACTGTGCCAAGGGTAGACATTTGGCAGAAGAAATACAGGTTGGTACAGTGAGATTTAGGTGGAGATAGGACGAAGGTAGGCAGTTTTCTACCATATTTTCTTCTTTCTGTATATGTATGAATTTGACAGAACTTTTGGTCATCTTAGCAACTTTGACTTACGTACCCAAAAGAAAAACACAAATATAAAGTGATTAAACTTGTTTTATAGCTTAAAATTTCACTGTGATTAAGATTTATATTTGTGATTATATCAGTGAGATTGAATTGTTCTAGGCCATTTCAGAAGAGTTTTCTCAGAAATCAAGCCTTCATAGCTCTCATAAAGCATATGATTATATGTCTTAACAAGCTTCACTTCCTGGTGCAGATACTGTTTCTCTGATAGCACTGGAGAGCAGAACTATTGTGGGTTTTTTTTAAGATTTTTTTATTTATTCACTTGAGACACAGAGATACAGAGAGAGAGAGAGAGCATGAGCAGGAAGAGAGGGAGAAGAAGAAGCAGGCTCCCTGCTGAGCAAGGAGCCCGATACAGGGCTCGATCCCAGGACCCTGGGATCATGACCTGAGCCAAAGGCAGACACTTAACCATCTGAGCCACCCAGGCGCCCCAGAACTGTTGTTTTTATAGAAAGAGGTTTTTATTTGAAGAATGTATATTTGTGCTATTAAACAAACTCATGCACCCCACTCCCCCACCTTTAGGGAGTGATGTTGCTGGCATGTGTGATCACTGTATTTTTTAGAAGTGGAAATGTTAGTCACTTTATAAAAAACTTTACATTTGCTATAGTTTATTTAAAGTTTCTGTTTACTGCTTTGAGTCTAAAGATCAAAACAGTACTTTGGTAACTAATGGTGATATGATGTATATTCTTAAAAATTACTCATAAAATATTCTGTCATCAGACTTTCCATTCAGTCAGTTTAGTTTTGCATCCAGTTTGTCTGAATTAATAAACCTACAATGGATCAATAAATGTAATTGTTAAATTATGAAATTAAAGATTAAAATAAAAGCTAACTACTTCATTTTACACCTGCAGCTACTGATAGAAGAAAGAAGGGACAAGGGAACACCAGAAGTAAAGAAGTAGATAAATTGATCAGGAAACAACAAACCCATGATAGGAAACAAGAAGAAAGAAGGCCAGAGCAAAGACATCAAGAAACATGGACTGAAAGAGAAAGAAGGTCAGAAAAACATAAAGATAAAAATTCAAGGGATCCACATTGGAGAAATCCCATAACAAAATACACTTCAGACAGAGGTGTTCCTTCTGAACGAAATAGTTACAGTAGAATCATGAATGACAGAGACCAAGAAGCACACACAGATTTGGAAAATAAGCATGGTGATCCCAAAAAGAAGAGAGGAGAGAGAAGAAATTCTTTTTCTGAAAATGAGCACAGACACCGAAATAAGGACAGTGAAAATGTTATAAGAAAAGAAAGATCAAAGTCAAGAGAGAAGAATAGAAAACATTCAGGTTCTAGAAGTGATGAAGATAGGTATCAGAATGGTGCCGAAAGGCGATGGGAAAAATCTAGCAGATACTCTAAACAATCCAGAGAATCAAAGAAACATCAGGACCAGCGAAGAGAAAAGTCTCCAACAAAGCAAAAAAAATGATTCTACAAAATTACAGAAACTGAACATGCCTTATATTCAGTTGAAACAAATTATTTTTTACATTAACGAACTTTATAGAGAATTCTTGTATAAAGTAATGGTTTGTATTTGTACATTTAAAATTTTTTTCTTTTTAACATGTTTTATAATTGATACATCTCAAGGCCCTCCACATAAAATTATTTGAAAAGTTTCACGGGAGAGGGATGTAATTCTTGCTTATATTTTGTTAATAAAATGATCAAATGCTCATTGAATCAGTGATTTTTTTCATTGACAAAATTTTTTTTCCTGATAATGTTTCCAACTGTTTATAGAACTATTATAATGAATTATTAGTGGCTTTTTTTTTTTAATAACTAGAGACCAAAATAGATGAACCATTTCAATGTAATATTTTTGCTTTGTTAATGAGATGCTATGAATCTTTTTTAGAAGTCACCCTTTTTATAAAATAAGAATTATTTCAAGTTTCATATTACATCTTGAACAAAATAGGTATGTGTAATTTTTTTAACAAGTGTTTTGATGAAGCTAAGGGTATGTTAGTCTTTTAAACAGATACAAAGCTATATTATTTAGAATTAGGACTTCTCTCATCTCTCATAACATTTCTTCTCTCTGGACTGCTAGATTAACGTTTAATTGAAATTCTTTGTGATTAGTGCTTTTTCTCAGCCTTGAAGTTATATCATTGTTGGTAAGTTAATGTGTATTTAACTTTTAATTTAGATTAATAGGTCATTGGAAAACATACAGTCATGAGAAATGTGAACAGCCTGTGAAATAATTCCAATTTTTATAAGAATTTTAAAGGTTTCCATCCACTGTAACTCTTACCAATTAATATGTGACCATATTATTTATTACTTTTGAAATAAAATATTGCCTCTGAAATTTTAGATTTGCTGACATTTAACCCTACTTACCAAATAGACTGCTTGTGCTTACTCACTTTTAAAGTACTTAAAGTCCATTTTAGCTGATGTCTGGTTTCAAGAATAATGGGACCACCGTCTTTAATGTTTGACTTTCAGGCATTTTCTGATTCAAAATGTTTTCTATTTTTGTTCAAAAACTTGAATATAAATAACAATAAAGTCCATATAAATAAATAAATATCCTCTCCTCCTATCCTCCTGCCCCTGCAAAAAAACAACAAAGAAGTATTAATTGAATATGGCAGCCTGGAAAAATTCTTTTTAGTGTTGTCTCCTACTGTGGTGGTTAGAAGGTGCTGAGTTGTCATTAGAAGGTACTGTCATGGACGTGGTGCATTTCACAAAACTATGAAGCTCAGCAAATTGGATTTAAGGAACACATAGGCTATGAGCCCTGAAGGAAAATAGTTTATTTTTGTAACTGAACACTGATCTTGGGGGTGGTAAAAAGGACAAAAACTGGACTAGAAATTTTAGCTTATTTTCTTCACTTTAAATTGATAATTTCTTTTCTAAACGTAGAAATGGGAAATCATTCGATTTACTGAGTCGTTAAGACCTTAGAGCGTTGTTCAAGTAGGTAATTTTTTAAATGTAACAAATATTTATTGCGCTCCTATTATGTGTGCAGACCTGTTCTAGGAACTAGAAATAAACCATGAAGAAAACAGAGAACTTTTACAGGGCTGATACTATGGTAGGGAGATATGGTGGTCATGATATTGGTGGGGTGGTTGGTAATTTTCCATAGGAAGGTCAGAGATCTCTGATAAGGCGATGTTTGCCCAGATTATTGAAGGAAATAAGGGCTTCAACCCTGTGGACTGCTGTGGGGGGAACCCAAGCAAAAGGAATTGCTGAGGCATAGATGTTTAATTGTAACAAATATTGCCTGGAAATTTATGTTAACATTTCCTATTCAACTAGTTGGATTTTTTTTCTCCTCACTATTTTATTTACTTTTAACAAAAGCAGTTAACACTTAACTCCCTTCAAGCAGAAAAGTATTTTGAATTTAACTGAGTCATACCAGGGCACAGTGAATGGGGGCCTGGGGCAGAACTGGACTGTCGGCCTTCATGGTGCATTTCTAGCGCATCAAATGTGATATGCTCACATCCCCCGCCCTGCCATTCAGGCAGATTTTTTCACTTTCATCCTTTTAAAATGCAGATAAGAAACATGTTGACTATGTCTGCTATTTCTGACTTTTTACTTCTTAGGATTAGCATTTTTTTGAGGATCAGCTGAGTCCTGTATATTTTGCATGCCATTACTCACTGTGTTTCAGTTTCTCAACTTCTTGCATCCAAGGTTTCTCTATCCCTACTACATCCCTAACCACCTGCACCCATGTCATCCCCTTTATGTTGACTTCAGAATCCACACCATCTCTGAAATCTCTTCCAGCATCACACTTTGACCACTGCCCATCCCACTCACATGCTCTAGTAATGCTAGTCTAGGAATCCTTTCATCAAAACTTCAGATGTACTGACTTTGTTAAAATTTATCATCGCGCCCCCCTCCCCATTTTTTCACTTGCTTTTAGGAAGAGACTCGGGTTCATATTGGGTAATTTATTACCATTTCATTTGAAAACTATTTGGCTAACTGCACATTTAAGTCTGACTAGGTTTTTATCTGACCTGTACCACTTGCTGGCTGTTGACTTTTGGGCAGGTCCTTCACTTAGTGTCTCCATTTGTGTCCATTTTCTCCTATGAACAGTGGGAGAACGGTAACTCCCTTAAAAAGTGAGTGGCCTCTGTGGCATGAGCAGGGCCTGGAGCTAAGTGCTCAGTGTGACTGTTCTTATTATTTATTTATTATTCTTATTATTTTTGTCACTAAAGGCTGTACCATAATTCATTTTTCCTCAGAGCCACATCCTTTCTAACTTAACTGCAGTTGATTCTATGAATCTCCCATCATTTTTGAGTTCCCCTTTCCCCAAATCACCAAACTTCAACAGTATCTTTTTTAAATTTTTTTTTTTTTTTTTTTTTTAGAGAGAGAGAGAGGGAAAGGCAGAGGGAGAGGATCTTCAAGCAGACCGACTTGGGCTCAGTCCCATGACTCATGAGATCATGACCTGAGCCAAAACCAAGAGTCTGACACTTAACCGACTGAGCCACCCAGGCACCCCTGGACTTCAACAGTAGTCAGTGCACATCCTCCTGTGCACCAAGTACTGCTCCAAGGAGAGAGCAAAAAGCAAACAGGCCCTGTCTTCAATTGAGCCTAAATCCTTGCAAAGGAAAACAAAGTTTAAAAAAATAAAAACTTACACTTTGAAAAATGTTAGCTATTCAGAAAAACCAAAAGAATAGTGCAGTGACCACCTATAAACTACCTCAATTCTGATTTCAGTAATCTAAAGCCTTATTTCCATCCTGTCACTTTCTTCTACATAGAAGTTCAATGACTCCTCTAGCCTATAGCATAAATGTAAATTCGCAGCCTGTTACTCTAGTTTCTTTAAAGTTCAAGTTCACCCTGTCTTAATGATCTAGGAGCTGCCAGCCTTTGAGCACTACTACGTTTTAGAATGTTTAGCAGCATCCATAGGAAGGTCTATGCTAGATACTAGCTGCTAGATACAATTTTGCCTAGTTGACTACCATAACCATAGACTTAGCACTTAGGAAATAGTCTTCAGTGGATCTCAATGTCGTGCTTGTTCTGCAGGCATCACTGTGCCCATTCATAGAAAGCTATGCCTATTATACTGCCCTCTTTTTGCAAGGGGAAGATTTGTTTTAAATGACTATTTAATACTCACTTAATAGAGCAGTGGGCAGCAATATTCCAGTTTTTGTTCAGCAAAATTTTCTGATATTCTAGGGAGGACATTCTGGTTGACATTTTAAGAGGTAAGTTTTCTGCAAATAGAAGCATGATTATTAGCCTGTTAATATGATTGTCTCATATAGGTTCTGGCTTCTCACTGTAGCTGTTTGTTATAACCAACACACTTCAGGAATGGCAAATAATGAGCTGTGACTGTTGTATTATTTTTTTTTAAAGATTTTATTTATTTATTTGACAGAGAGATACACAGCGAGAGAGGGAACACAAGCAGGGGGAGTGGGAGAGGGAGAAGCAGGCCTCCCGCCGAGCAGTGCGGGGCTCAATCCCAGGACCCTGGGACCATGACCTGAGCCGGAGGCAGACGCCTAACCATCTGAGCCACCCAGGTACCCCTATTGTATTATTGTTAATCCTGTAATAGAGAATTAGATTATCCAATATCCAAACACCTTAATTTTTGATCAGACACTTCAGTAACCATCAAATGGTTGCTGAAGTGAATTAACTAGTCATTTAATCAGTAACTTCATGCACTATAAGACCTAAAAGATTGGCCAAATGGGATTTAGTCTTCACCGAGTTAGATTCTCTCCTGGAACAAGTATCTGGTATGAATCCAATGTCCTTATGAGTCCCATACTCTATATAGCACCTTAACCAGAGATCTTCCTCCACTATTTCTGTGACCAATACATGAGAAGTCCCTGTGAAGGCTGTACCGAACATTTGCTGTTTCTGTCTGAGGATGATTCCTTCTCTCTGATCAGATAATTTTGGGAACTTGCCAACAAAAACACTCCCTGGCCTGGCCATACAGGGTACCCAATCCCCTGAACAATGGAATTGGTTCAGGAATGAGCGTATGACCCACGCTGGTCCACTCAGAATCCTTGCCCAGTTGTTCTTCAGTTCGGAGCATGAAACCACAGGACCATGTCTAAGGGCACGCAGAGCAAAAAGGGTGTTTATTGAAGCTGGAGCATCCAGAGTCCTGTGGAAAAGCCCAACCTGCAGATCAGCGCTGCTCAAGAGCAAGCAGCCCCCAGATGGATGAGGAAACAATTCTGTTTGAGTCCCTAAATAAATTGAACTGTGGCAGAAGCTACACTTCCCAGGTATGAGTTAACGAATCCCTTTTTTATTTAAGATACTTTGATTTGGATTTATACCACTTGTAATAAAAACATCTATTAATTCATGGTGATTCCTGTTGATGGACAGGATGGAATCATTTGGACAGTTATTCCCACCTCACCATATTTTTGCTTACATACTTTTACTTGAAGAAGGGTAGAAGGAAATAGATGTATACCCAATAAAGATGACCTATGGGAAAAAAATACAACAAAGTACCTTTGGGTGGGTCTTAATATTTTAAAGAAACATCTAAATGAGTAATTTAAATGAGGTTAATTTTACCAGTGATTTTAAATGAGGTTAATTTTAAATGAGGTTAATTTAATACTAGTGATCTATTTTTATAAATAACAGAACCTCACTTT